CACCACCGCGCAGGTGCCCGACAGCGCGGGCACGGCCACCGCTTACCTCTGCGGCGTCAAAGCCAACGAGGGGACGGTGGGCGTCAGCGCCGGCGTCACCCGGGACCGCTGCAACACCACGAAGGGCCAGGAGGTGACCTCCATCCTCCGCTGGGCCAAGGATGGAGGTGAGGGGCTGGCGGGTGCCAGGGTGGGGGTAAAGCGGTGGGGTCTGGGGGGCTGTTCCCACCATCGTCCCTTGAATTCGTGGTGCAGGCAAGGCGGTGGGCATCGTCACCACCACGCGGGTGACCCACGCAACGCCCAGCGCTGCCTACGCCCACTCCGCCAACCGCGACTGGTACTCAGATGGAGAGATGCCCCCAGACGCGCTGGAGGGTGGCTGCAAGGACATTGCCCGGCAGCTGGTGGAGAACATCCCCGACATCGAGGTAGGGATGGGGCCACCAGGGATGTGGGCTGGAGCCACCCAGGACCACTCAAGGACGAGCACAGGGCCATGGGTGGGTGTGGGACCAGGACCACCAGTGAGTGAAGAGCCAAGACCCCCAGTAGATGTTGGGCTGGGACCACCAGTGAGTGAAGAGCCAGGACCCCCAGTAGATGTTGGGCTGGGACCACTGATGGGTGGACCTCCTAGCAGATAGGTTGTGGCTGCCCCCTCCCTGGCAGTGTTCAGGACCAGGTTGGATGGGGCTCTGAGCACCCTGGGCTGGTGGAAGATGTCCCTGCTCATGGCAGGGGGTTGGAACCAGATGATCTATAAGGTCCCTTCCAACCCAAACCAGTCCATGAGTCTATGATACCAGGCCAGAACCACCAACGGCTGCAGAGCAAGGATCCCTGGTAGATACGGAGTCAGGACCACTAATGCATGCAAAGCCAGAATCCCCAGCAGACATAGGACTGGGATCATCAGTGGGTGAAAAGCCAGAAGCCCTAGGAGATACGAGACCAGGGCCACCCATGGATGCAGACACAGGACCGGGACCATCAGCGGGTGAAGAGCCAGAACCCCCAGCAGATATGGGACCAGGGCCACCCATGGGTGCAGAGCCAGAATCCCCAGCAGACATAGGAGCAGGACCATTAGCGGGTGAAGAACCAGGATCCCCAGCAGATATGGGCCCAGGGCCACCCATGGGTGCAGAGCCAGGACCCCCAGACGAATGAGGCGCAGG